GTTTATGTGTATGTCACAAACTGGATACTACATACTCATTGCTTATCTGAAGTTTATGTGTATGTCACAAACTGGATACTACATACTCATTGCTTATCTGAAGTTTATGTGTATGTCACAAACTGGATACTACATACTCATTGCTTATCTGAAGTTTATGTGTATGTCACAACCTGGATGCTATCTACTCATTGTTTAACTGAAGTTTATGTGTATGTCACAAACTGGATGCTATCTACTCATTGCTTAACTGAAGTTAATGTGTTTGTCACAACCTGGATGCTCATTGCTTAAGTTAATGTGTGTGTCACAAACTGGATGCTCACTGCTTAAGTTAGTATGTATGTATGTCACAAACTGGATGCTCACTGCTTAAGTTAGTATGTATGTCACAAACTGGATGCTCATCGCTTAACTGAAGTTAATGTGTCTTTCACAATTAAATCCTTTTCTTTTATCTGTTTTGCACCTTATACAATATAAGGTAAATATCCTGTCATTTGAATCCTTCAGTTTAGACATCGTATCGAACTGAATAAGGTAAATATTAATAAGGTAAATATCCTGTCATTTGAATCCTTCAGTTTAGACATCGTATCGAACTGAATAAGGTAAATATCCTGTCATTTGAATCCTTCAGTTTAGACATCGTATCGAACTGAATAAGGTAAATATCCTGTCATTTGAATCCTTCAGTTTAGACATCGTATCGAACTGATTAGGAATATGTACATGTGGACAAACAGCTGCTGAAGTGTATTTAGTTGTTCCAGCGTAAATAAAATTATCTAATCAAAAACACTTTAGGTCTGAAGAAATGGGTGGGGCTAAAAAAAAAAAGAAAGATTAAAGGAATGAAATCAAAATTGGTGGTCAAACTGTAACTACACTTATAACATGGATAAGAATTTTACAGCAAATATTCATTCATTAGTTAGCCAGGTTGCGGTTTTTTTTTTTTTTGTTCAACTTGGAGCATGATGGTGGATAAAACAAAATACGCAGTCTAGATAACTAATGAATGAATATTTGCTGTAAAATTCTTATCCATGTTATAAGTGTAGCTCCCAGTTTGGCCACCAATTTTGATTTCATTCCTTTAATCTTTCTTTTTTTTTTTTAGCCCCCCCCATTTTTTCAGACCTAAAGTGTTTTTGATTAGATAATTTTTTTTACGCTGGA